CATTAAACATTTTGTCTTGTTTTTGTTTGTCCCGTTAATAATCATGTTCTAAAATAAAAACATACATTATTCCCCTGGGTCACACGTCTCCTGGATCACATATTGTGTGACCCAGGGGACAATTCCAAAGAAATGAATTATAATAAATTTTTGAAATAATAATAAACTTATATGAAAGTTTTTAAATCATTTTTTTTTCAACCTTCCACATTTTCTGTTTCTAACAGTACATAGCCAATTTAAAATAACGTCCTCCACCTTTTTAATAGTAATTTTCCTAGTCAATGTATTTTGCCTTAAAGAAACTGAAAAAAAAATTGTGGTAGTTCAACAAAACAATGTTTTTATTATTATTTTATTATTATAACTAATAACTAAAACTTTTTATTAATTTATTACTCGTTAAATTGGACAAGCTGGGCCCAGATAAAAAATCGATAAAAAAACGTTTTTAAAACGCATTAAAAAAACTTTTTTAAACTCACTTTTTTTAGTGGACATTTTTTAAATACAGAAAATATATTAAAAATACTTGTATGTAAGAAATAGAACATAGTTTTGTACTTAACTTTTTTTTTAATAATAAATTCATGTTCTTTTTTTAAACAAATCCTAGTAAATAAAACCTTAAAAGGATTATTAACAAGCAAAAAAATATATTTTCAAAATGATTAAGTTTTTTTAATACGTTAGTAAATTTGTGACCCAGGGGACCATTTTTTCTTTTTAAAGGGCTTATTTAAAAAAATCCAACTGCCCACTTTTAGGTGTTAAATAACACTTGAGTCATTCTTTAATTTTTCACCAAATTTGACAGAAATTGAAAGTTGACCTCATTGGATTTTCTTAAAACTTTCAGGGTGTGAAGACCAATGCTTAGGATGAACAAAAACAACAATAATATTTTGTTACTTAAACATCCTATAGGCAGGGCTATGTTAAACCGTCTAAGAAAACCCTTTAGAACTTGTTGTTTATTAATATTTTGTATCGCGTAATATTTTGTTTTAACCATAAAACAATGTACTTTTTAAATATATGCCTAAAATATACAAATGTTTTTACAAATGCAGTTTTTTTAGTGCTAAATTAACGGTTCTTTTAACTGAAAATGACATTTTTCTACCATTGATATTATATAATATTTGTATTTCTATTTTATTTTATTGTTACCATCTTTATTATTTATTTATATTATTATTGCGATAAAACCCTGATATTATTTGTTTTCCTTTTTTATGTATGATATTCCTGACTGAGAAAACAAGCCCTACGTTCAGATGAGTTCGGCCAAATTTGACGCGAAGGATGTTGAAAGTTTGCCAAGCCTCCAAGAGTCCGTCTGCCAATCTTCCAAAGGGGCGTCTGTAAGGGTCCTGTAGTATATAAACTTTTAAATTCAAATTTGGCGCTATTTTAACCAAGGAAAATTTAAATAATCCACTAAAAATAATATTATAGTTTAAGTTATTTTATGTTTTAAAATCATATTGAGTTTTAATATTTCACTTCTTTGTATCTGAACGTCGAAATATTAGGGGTGATCTGTTTATGTTAGACATTCTTGCTTAAGTGGCCGAGATGTTTAAAAGCTAGATTAGGAAATAGAATACACACAGAGGGTTTTTGCTCGCCCTTCGAGATACTCCTGTTAAACCGTTTGTGAAATATATTATAATATAGTTATAGTTTTTGTGATTGTTACCGATTTTCTGCAATAATTAGGTATGTACACTTTCTTAAATTGTAATATTTGCTAGTAATGATAAACAACTCCTCGTTTTGGGTTTTCTTAATACATTTTTGCTTATAATTTTGAACAATATTATTTAATTCGCATTTTGGTCTATGACGTTTATCATTGCTAGTTTCTTGGGTCCTAATCATTTTAATATGTGTAAATAGCGAGTGATTTTTGGTAATGATTTTTATTGTATCACTATTTCATTATTTTGGGTTTAATATCTTGTGATCGCGCATACACTGAGTATACCTTTGTATAAATAACATTGTTTTTGTTGTTTCCTTTTTTATAACTTTGTATAACTTTTATTTAACTGAAATGTATTTTATTGTTTATGAAACTCAGTGTATCATCTCGGTATTAAGGTATTTATTTGTTTTAACTCTTTGCATTTGTACTCAGGCTAAAGCTTTTAACAATTATATTACTATTATAATATTGGTATTATTTGGGTAAGGTTTATTATGGTTATTATTATTATTTTTGCTATTATTATTATTATTATTAAATTTGATATTACCATTAGGTCATATCATGGTAAGGTAATAGTATCGTTTAGCCTTTGATAGATTCTGGATAGAGACTTTGATTTAAACTGCTTATCTTAGCGCTTTATTTGGAATATTTGATAATGACTTTAACGTTACTATATATGATAAAAATCTCTTTATATTATTATCCAGCGCGACACTTTCTGGTGGTTAGAGTTCGGGCCATGTTTAGATGTTTCTTGTTATGACGCTCTCCTATTTATTATTTTATTGTATTTTATTTATATATATTTTATTGCATATTGTTTATTTTATTTGTGTCTATATTTGTATTTGTGTTTTCGTTTGGAGAGTGCTCATGCATGAATATTTGAACATGGGTAATATATTAGCATTATTTCAAAAGGATTTATCCTTAGAAGAAAAATAGTGTTTTTATGTTATTACCTACATATACTCTGTGTGCAGAATTGTTTGTATATTTTTACAATACTGTACTCTTGTGCTGGACATTGATTTTGTGAGAATATTTGAACATATTGTGATATAGGGATACTATAGTGAGATAAGGACATTAGGTTTCGTTATATCACTTCACAGAGATGCTATTGTTCCATAGTGTGGTTATTGGCTACGGTTAAATATCTGCATTAGATTATATTTTTCCATGTTACCCTCCTCTTTAAAGGCATTTGAATTCTCTCTATCAGAAATATGTCGTTGCTGTAGTTTATTTATATAAAATCGTATCCTCGTTCAATAGTTCGAAGATGCGTGGTAAGGTAAACAAACACTTCGTCATAAAATGACGATCGCTATTATAACTATTTTACCTGAGTACAAAATGTTTTGAATATTGATAAAAACTCCCAAATTATATGAAATATGTTTATCTGCTTTTTACGTTATTTATTATTTATACTGTATTCTTGTGATTATGACGCATATAACTATGTTTTGTTTTGTATTTTATTTTTATTTAAACTGTGTAAGTCGCCAGGGTTTTTATGGTCCCTTTTCCCTGTGCTCTGACTCAACGGGCCACCCTTTTGTCTTTGCTTAAATTAAATCAGGGGTTTAAAATTAAGTGCTTGTGTTTCATTAAACCTGACCAATTTCAAAATAACGTTATTATCAATGTAAGTAAATACACAACGTAGAGTCCTAATTTTTATAAAGTAAGTAAATTATCTAGACGATCACGAATATGCCAAAACAAGTATTTCAGTATACTTAAAGAATCGGGTTACGAAAATACATAGTGTACCTTACAGTTCCCATACTCATACTCATACTCACTCATATTTCATATTTGATTCAATTGCTTTGGATGTGTTTAATTTACTTAGTGAACTGATATTTTTAGTATGCTTTTACTACCTCAGATATTTGAAAACATTAACCCAGAAAGAGTAACAGTCACGGAGGATAGGTTTTAGACTTTTAAAACATTGTAAAAAATAATTAATTGCGGTTAAAAATCTGGAACCTGAGCTGTAATATCTACTTAATTATGAAAGATCAAAACACAATAAAAGTGTAGGTCAAACTCATTTAGATTTATTAAATATCACGGGGTAACACCATCGGGGGTCATTTCGTGAGATTCACCCACATATATTATTTATTAAATTATAAAAATTGGTAAATGCAAAAAAATGATACCTTAAAAAAAAATTTGCCAGCACCTTTTCCGGTATAAGGGCCCCTACCAGATTTTTGATACGGGCCCCCTCGAGGCTAGCTACGCCACTGAGGAGAACTTTCTATTAAATTTTGAACAATTTTCGTTCAGTCCCTCTGGACTAAAAAATGCATTTTTTTTCGCCAAAAATGTAAGTTTTTATAATAAAAATGGTATTTACTGCAATTTGGGTACTTTTTTATAATTTTATATTTTAATCGATATTTATAAGTACTTTAAATAAAAATATACACCAAATAAAATTTCCATAGCCTACTACATAATATCAATGGTAGAAAATTCACTTTTAAGTTAAAAAAGCATGAATTTTGCACTAAAAAAAACTGAACTTGTAAAAACATTTGTATAATTTTAGGTAAAATCTCTAAAAACCCTTGAACACGTAAACTGAGATATAAGTTGAAGTATTTTTATACAAAATTTTATAAAGATTGGTAAAGGCGTTTTAGAGTTGGATTTTTTTTACTTGTTATGCGTTAATTTTGATTTGCAGTGTATATAAAAAACATTGTTTTATGGTTAAAACAAAATATTACGCGATAAAAAATATTAATAAACAAAAAAGTTACAAAAGGATTTCTTATAAATTGATTTGGTAATATTTTATGCAAACCAGTCAACATGGCCTCACCTAATTTCTCAGGGTGTTTAAATAAAAAAATATTATTGTGATTTTGGTTCATCCCAAGCATTAATCTTCAAATCCCAAAACTTTTAGTAAAATCTGAGATGTGGAGCTTTTGTCATTAGGTGAAATTTCATGGAATGACTCACCCCTAAATAAACAAAATTTGAAAAAAAAACAGGTTTGTAGATTATGTTTTTGTTTTTACTTTTTCTTCTTTAAATGTTCAAGAATTTTGAAAATGACCCTTATATAAAAACTTACCTGTGTTGCCGCTTGCTCCTTAAGGCGTTCAATTTCAGCATTTTTCTGCGTCAACGAATCACGCCATCTGGTCTCTTCTTGCGCGATATTATTTTGAAGGCGAGTCAACTGACTTTCCTAAAAAAAATAATAATAACGAAACCCCCAGAACAATACACCCTAAAAACTCACCGTTTCATCGATAATACTCTTGTAGTTGGCGACTTGCATTTTTAACAGATTTTCTTCTGTTGCGTCTTTTGTGGTTTCCTTTACAGTTTTAATACTTTCCAGATGTTTGGTGATAAGTTTCTCAAACTCGCTCTGCCAGTTTTCTTTGGCAGAAATCGATTTTAATTCCTCAATTTCAGGGAATAATCTCTGGATAAATTGCTTTTGAGAGTCCTGCTCTTTCAGGCGAATTTCTTTTGTTAGCACCTAAAATAACGATTTTTTAATACCTACTTTTCAAGACCAATTTAAATTTGAGTTAATGAACAGGAAAGTGATTTTTTGCGATGTTTTAAATTTTAGCAGACTTACATCAACTGATGTTTGTTTAGGGCTGCTGCTTACGGTTTTGGTTCTACTTTCGGCCACATTTAGCGCTTCCATCACTTTCCAATTCTTTTGCCGCAAGTCCTAGCAGGCCAGGTTTAAAACACATGTTAGTAAACACATTTAAACAAGCAAATGTCAAGTTAAAAATGTTAATGTAAGAAAGTTATGACAAATTACTACCAAATAAAAAAATCCTCAAAATTATAAAAAAATTCCAATTCAAAAGAGAAACTAATAAAGCTGTAAAAATCTCACTTACATTATTTTTAGCTTTCTGTTCTTCAATCTTTATAAGTAAAGTCTTATTTTTGTCGTTGGTTTTGTCCAATTGTGCCAAAGTTGTTTGCAGTTCAGTCTGAACCGAACTTAATTTGTTGTTAATGTTCAAAATGTCTAGTTTGTATTTTTCACTTTCTTGAGCCGAACAGTTTACGTTTTTAATTTCCATCTGCTCCTTTTCGGCTTGGACATGTTTCAAATCTTCATTCAGCTAAGTAAGTAAAATATTATTTATCTTCTAACCAGTGGTGGCTGGTGGATTTTGGCACACCCATATCTCAGTTATTAGACATGGGACCCACATCAAATTTATATGAGTTTATAATGACATTATATAGACAAGTTCTGCGCAAGCAGAATTTAAATTAAAGTTTGCGAAAAAAAGTTAGTTTTTAAGTGCAAACCCCAGCCTCCTGCCCCTCCAAATTAAAATAATTCAAATTAAAGTGGTACAATATTTAACTCACTAAAGTTTATCGACAAATTTCAAATTTTATTAAAAAAATTCAAGTATTACAGATTTTATACCATTTCAAATTTTTTAAAATTTAGTAATAGAAATAATAAAAATTATAAATGGTATAAAACCTGTAATTCTTGAATTTTTTAAATAAAATTTGAAATTTGTCGATAATCTTCAGTGAATTAAATATTTTACCACTTTAATTTGAATTATCTTAATTTGGAGGGGCAGGAGGCTGGGGGTTGCACTTAAAAACTAACTTTTGTTCGCAAACTTTAATTTTAATTTAAATTCTGCTTGCGCTGAACTTGTCTATATAATGTCATTATGAACTCATATAAATTTGATGTGTCCCATGTCTAATAACTGAGATATGGGTGTGCCCAAAATCCACCAGCCGCCACTGCTTCTAACATAATATAATATAAATATTATTAGACTCAACCCTTTAAAAACTATTTATTATTGTATAAATACAACTTTATTTTCTTAATACAAAAAAAAAAGAAAAATAATTTTTTTCGCAGTGTCTACAGTCCCGATGCGGGACTGTAGTTTGAAAAGTTGGAAAAACGAAATTATTGATAGTTTTGCAAGAGGAGTAGTTGATTCAGTATTTAGTCGCAACATTTAAGCCACCCTAAGATTATAGACACCAGCCTCCTATAATTAACACTTCAGTATTAGATTTTTTTAAAAGTATTAGCTTTTAAAAAAGTTTTTTTTCAAATTCAAACCCTACAAATTTTTTATTTAGTATTAAGACACTACTTACTTGGACAATAATATTGTTGATGTCAATCTTCTCAGCTTTAAGTTGCTTGATTTCATTTCTTAACTGAAGAATTGTATGCTCATGTTTTCTATTTTCCTCCACTTGTTGGTGCAAATTAGTCGTTAAATGAGACATTTCTTTTTTATGTTCCTCCTCCTTCTTTGTTAGGATCGTTATTTGACTTTCCAAACCTTGTCTGGTCTCCTAAAAATAAAATTAATAAACCATGTTAAAAATTAGTTTAAAAAAATACCTCAAGTTGCTTATTGATATTTTTAACTTGGTCAGATTCCACCTGGAAGTTCTGGCGATCGCGTGCAACTTCCTGAAGATCGCAGTTCAATCTATGAAGTTCCATTTGGGCGTTTTGAAGGTCAGATCTTAGTTGCAGCAACATGCTTTCGGCCTAAAACAAATTTTGAATGTAGTTTTTTTACAACGAAAATGTTAAAAAATGCACTAACGTCTTGGCCCTGGGTCAATCTGCCTTCCAATTGTTGTTTTTGATGCACAAGCCCATTATTTTCCTCAACCAATTTCTGCAAGTCATCGTTGAATTTGGCCTGTAACTGTTGCAATTGGTGCTGCAAAGTTTGATTCCTGTTGTTGCCGGATTCGACCTCGATGTTTTTGGTGTTTAAAAGTTCTTCTAAAGATTTTATTTTATGGTTTTGTTGTGTTTTCTCCGCCTGAACTTCGCCGCGAATCTCACGGATCCTTGTTTGAAGTGCGGTCTGCGCTTCGATGGCTTCGGTGAGGAGTTTTTCTTTTTCTGCGAGCTGTTTTTTTCAGTTTTTGTACCGGGTCAGATTTTCCCTAAGAAATTTGTTTTTTAGATTTCAGAAAATATAGATATGTTCAATTTAAAACGAAATTTACATATTTTTGAGGTTGATATTTACCATAAATTTACGAGTGACGTTTGTAAACGCAGTCAAAATTCCCAAAAACATCTTCACATTTTTAAATTTTTGCACATACCGTTTGGTAAAAGGTATTTAATAATATAAGGAATATTAATACAAGTTTTTTTCAACAAAAAATACAAACATTTAAATAAATACGTACGATAAAAACGGTTAATTATACAGAGTGTCTTTAAAAAGACAGAGTTTTATGCCAAAATAAATTGAGAAAGAAATACTAAACAAATGGATATTAGGGGAAATCCTCACAAATCAATCATTTAACCACAATCCACACAACAAGATCTGTTCGATCTCATACTAAAAATACTAAAAATCACTGTAATACTGCACATCATTCAATGGCGGCCATTTTTGTTGTTTACAATTCTTGTGCTTTGGGTTTGTACAGATTAATAATCGTTTTAAACGTTGTGTTTTTTACAGAGAGACTTGCAAACCTTAAAAGAGACCTCAAAGTGGTAAGAACAATCATTTCTTTCAGGGCTGTCATCAATCTGTCAAATTAAAATTTTTGGGTTATGGTAAATTAACCTTAAAATTTACATTTGACAGTTTGATGACAGCCCTGATAAAATATATATTTTTTACAAAAGAGGAGTAAAATGGTTGTTCTTAGCACTTTAAGGCCTCATTTGAGGCTTACAAGTGCCTCTGAAAGAAACAACTTTTAAACGATTATTAATCTGTATAAACAGAGCACAACCCCAAAGCACAAGAATTGTAAACAACAAAAATGGCCGCCGTTAAACTCTGTGCAGTGTTGCAGTGATTTTTAGTATTTTTAGTACGAGATAGAACAGACCTTGTTGTGTGGATTGTGACAACATCAAACTTTCAACATAGTAATGAAATGCATAATATGTATATTATGTGTAACACAAGAACTCCTTACGTACGAAACAACGACAGAATTTCACTGGAATATAAAAACGGTTTGACAGGAGTTAATCACTCCCACCACTTGCAAGAACGCATCTAGTTGTGTCAATATTTAGTGTCATTTTTTTCGGTTTTAGCACAATAATCGCAGACCAAATTAATATTTTCAAGTATGGATTTAATAACTAGCAGTAAGTAGTTTATTTTAGAATAATTTTAATATACACAGTAATGCATTATTATTAAAAATAATTAAACATTTTGCAGGAAAGCTAGATTTTTAGTTAATAATCCATTTCATTGCATTTTAAAAAAAATTCCACCGAGTTCCACTGTATTTATATTTTTAATGCAAAGATGTTTTTTTTTCATTTTAAACAAGTTTTAGTCCCAACATTTTTCAAGTTTTGTTTTATTAGTAAAAATTTCTCGAAAATAACTATTTCTAGAGTTAAAAAAAGAAAGATTTGTTAAGCTGTCGTTGCCCGAATGTAATAAAAAATTAGTTAGTTATATTTTGGAGAAATTTTACATTGAAAACTTTTTTTCGACGTTGAAAAAATCTGTAAAAAACACAATTAAGATTTCTTTTACAAAGATTTTAACCAAATGGAAGAAAACATTACATTCAAAAACATTTTCTTAAGAAGAATTCGCTGTGGCTAGAAGGAGAAATTAGTTTACCTCAATTGCGTGAACTGAATCAAACGCCACAAAAGAATCAACCAAAAGGTAGGCCAAAAAAATTATTTTCTGAATTGTTAAGTCGTAGTAAACAAAGAATCGCTTATCAAGAATATTCCTTCTGAGCAGCTTACATTTGCGGCTGAATCTAGCTTGCACCAGTCTGGAAAAAGAAAAACTGCAAAAATTATGAAATTAGCTTTGGAAGCTTCACCCAAAAAGCTAAAGAAAATGCAACGAGTAACCAATCCTATATTCACTGCGTATACGCCAGAAGAAGCATTTGGTCTCATAGTTGAAACAAGCTTAACTAAGGAAGATTATATAAAAATTTAAAGAGGGGCAAAAACACGGGGAGCATCGTTGTATCCAGCATACAATGTTATAGGTCAAGTCAATCAAACTTGCTATCCTGAAAACATCACCATATCAGAAAGCGAGGCAAGAATTCCTTTACAAAATTTATTAGATCACAGCGTGTTTGAAGTTCAACGTAAGTTTTTTTTAATGCATTTTCCAACTAGTTCATAGGGTCATTCAAAAGTTCATAAACGAATCCACAAATTGTGTGGTTTTATGACTAGGTATTTGAAAGACGTTGTGGTTTAAATCAAGATTGCATATATTGGATCTTTAAACAAAGGTATTAAATAGGTATTCAAACAATTGTTTGATCCAATTTTCCAAAATTATTTTTAATTGTTTTTTTTTCAAATAGATTTAAGTAATGTGGTCAAATTGTTCGACTAAATATATAAAATTAAGACAAGAGTTCTTCATTTTTGCAGTATATTTTTTAATGTTTCAGTAGATATAGTCCTTCGGAGGGGACTTTAAGCCCGCGTTCCTACCCCTAACCCGCACAAGCCATTCAGTTGGCTTATGGGACTTCTGAAGAAGTAAGGGTGGAACTAAAAGAGCACTTTGAATATAAACTTTTTTGTATATGAGTAGTAGACCGGCATTCAGTAGTTTATAATTATTATAGGGTATAAGAATGTTGAGTACTTGAAAAGACCGCGCTAGTATCACTGGATCTTTGATACAGTGAATCATTCTATACTAAAAAAATATCCAATAAATATCTAAGGAATAAAACTCAGGCAGTTGCAGACTGCAACTTGCAGTTAACAAAACAAGAAGTAATGAAAATAAAAAAGCTTTAAAAACTCTAGAGTTTGGAGTATCCCAAGGCTTGATATTAGGGCCCACACTTTTTTGTCTTTAAAATTTAAAACTTAATGGAAATATTAGATTGTATGCTCATGACACAACCTTGGTATACTTCTCAGATACATATGACTCAATTAGGAGAAATATTGTTTGTGACTTAAATTTGATTTTGAGTTGGCATAAATCGCATAAACCAACTTTAAATATTGATCAGTACTCATTTTTTGCGACGCCCCCTAAAAAACTTCCTTTTGATGAAAAAAAAAATTTTTTTTAATTAAAAACAACCCGTGCCTCAAGACGATCTAAGTTAATTTTTTGGTATAATCATGTCTTTTCTGAAAATATGGAATAATAATTTTTTTTGAGATTTACAAATTATTAACAATGAAATAACTTCATCTTGGAGTGAAGAAATCTAGATATTAAAATTACGTTTGTACTAAGTTTTAAAATAAAAATATCAATTTAAATATGTTTCATTTTTTTATTAAACTATTTTGTTATTATTTGTTTCCCGGAAATCTTCCATCGAAAATTACCGAAACTTTCCGAAAGTTAAAAAAATATTTCGGAAATGAATTTTTTGTGCCAGGAGCATTGCGAAAATATATAACACGTGTTATAATGTTGTAACGAAGTTACTTTATTTTCCGTACATAACCCAATGTATACCGATTATATTATTATAATGCAAACGAGTGGATATGCGACGTCATGGTTCCACTTCCACCCTACTCAAATAAGTAGGGAGATGCGCCGTTTTAAGACTATAGTCCATTCCATTTAAGAATAAAGGAGATGTCGCTGCAAAACGAGACAGGTTTACACAGGAGTACGCGGCAAATTTAAATATAATGGCGGTTGTCTTTGATAGAATATTAATATGTTACAACAAATATATTGCATATATGCACAAATCATAGCAACCGTGAATGTCCCATACCATGAAAAAATAATTTACTATAATAATTAAGACCTTTAGACATGTATTATATTATTTACAGAAAATAAGAAGAAATAAACAATAATTTGAGCAACATAACCTCAATAATTTAAATGTCAGTTCATTTTTTTGATGTGGAAAATAGTACATATTTTAATGTTTTAATAAATTTTTATGATTTTATAATATAAAAATTTAGTAATTAATAAGTAGACCGAGTTTTATTAAAAATGTAAGATAAATTAAATGGTAAATGAACGGAAAAAATTAATTTTTTCTTTGAGTGTAAGCATACATCCATGGATTTGAAAAGTGTATTTTTTAATATAAAGTATTCATATGTCCTATATGTACCTACCTATATGAAATTTGTTTATTTTTTCTAAAATAACAAACAGCGAACCATATTTAATGGTTTATCATAGATAACAAATGGTTTATTACGGTTCGTTATAAGCGATTGCTACTAACATTATTTGCTAAGGAATATTTAATGAAATTGATCGAATGAAATTAATTAATCTATTATTTATTCATCGATTTATATTTTAACATATAATAAAATTTGGGTGTAAGAAATTAACCGATATCAAGAAAATAAAATAGCTATTGTAAAAATTAGGATTTTTTTTACATTCATTCTGAACAACTTACATATGAAGACCCTACTTACCCAACTGAAAAAAGTTATTTAAAAAATTAAATCTAGTTTTTTTTTAAGTATGGCTTAAATAAAATACAAATGCAATTAATGAAGGTTTTATTAAAAAAACAAAATTTTACAGAGACAAATCACGTCAAAATGGCCTTCCAATTTCCATGCTGCTGATGGATTTTTTTCAATTTTAACAGAATGATAGGGGGCATTATCCATCACAACAACAATGTTCTTTTTTATTTTTGGTAAAACATTTTTTATCCAAGTCTCAAAAACAGTTCCATTAATAAATATCCTCATGATAATTCTCTGTTGACTTTTACTCAAATACATTTACACACCTTGGGCTTTGTGTCCTGCATTGATCCAAATCTCATCCATGTAATATATTTTTTGATCCTGTAATCGATAACTCCTGATATCAATATATTTTCTTCTCCAAATTACTATTTTACTTTTTTTAACCAGTAAATGATTCCTACACTTTTTTTCATACTTGAAGT